CCCAAGGAAAAACCCCCCCCAGACCCCTGCCATAGCGGCAGCCCCAGCGGGACAGGAAGCTCCCATCCGCCGTGTTCCCCCGCCCACGGTGCTGCCCACAAGTGACAGTGGGACAGGCAGGAGCACACAGCCCCCCAGCCAAGCTCACCGGCATGCAATGCTCGGCTCCAGCATCACCAGCCTGGCAAGCCTCTGGGAAGCTGGGAGGGAAAGGGGGAGACACGGCACAGGGAAGAGGCTCTTGAGCACAGAGAGCAGCCCTGGCACATAGCAGGCAGGAGCAGGCAGCAGTGTCACGCTCACGTGCCAACAAGGAGCTGGGAGCCAGCATCCTGCCAGGAGCCATGCCGAAGTGTGCGTGCCTGCGGCCCGGCTGCCCGCATACCCAGGTTGGAGGGAGGCTGGGCTGTGACGGCCACTTGCAGCCCCTGGGGAGGGTCCCCAGCCCCCCAACCGGGCAATCCTTGCTGTGACTAAGGGGAAGAGGATTCCTGTTTCCCAAAGCCTCCGTAACCCTGCGGTGTCCGCAGAGGAACATTCTTCCCCTGATTAAAGCAAGATGGGAGAGAGCCAGAGCCAAGCAGGGCTTTTTTTGTTGTTGCTGGTTTTTGCAAAGGAGGAGGGGGTGGCTGGAGCCAGCCCGGGAGGATGGAGGTTTCCAGGTAAGCCCAGCCCCGTGCCAGCTTCGCAGCTCCCCGTGGAGGAACTGCCCTGCTGTGCAGACTCCCATGCGGGGGCAGGCGAGCTGGCCCTGCAGAGCCAGGGTGTCTCAGTTCAGGGGAGCGGGACGCACTGCCCTCTGATCCCTGCAGCCCCTCCGAGACCCAGAGCTGTGCTGCGGATCCTGGATGGGACAGACACCATGTCACCTGGCTTCTCCCAGCCTCTTCTATCCTCCCACCACGGCTCAAGCCCCAAGCCCAGGTCCCTCCCGCCTGATGGGGGGCTGCTGGTTTTATCAGGGGAAAAAAAAACCAAAAACAAACCACCGGCGAGGACCAAGCACCTCCCGTGCTTAGCAGAGGCAGCAGGACCATACATGAGCCCAGCTCTGAGACAGCACTGAGGCGATGCTCAGCCCTCTCCTTCGCCAGCTCAGTCAGGATTGTCAGTCAGCCCAGAGCAAACCAGGGAGAAGAGAAGGGACCAGGACACCAGAGCACTCACTGTGCCAGGTGGGAGCTGGCATGGGGAGCACAGACCTCACCCCAGACCGCAGGGCAGCCTCAAAGGCTCCAGGGACAAGCGGGTGCTCGGGGCTGCTCCTCTGTCTGATGGCCACAGCCTTGGGGGACACAACAGGCCAGGTGTGACTCGAGCTCTCCGGCTGTGGTCCCCTCCTGGTGGCTTGGGGGCTGCCAGGGAGCACATTGGCAGGTGTCCCAGTGGCCCAGCTGCCCTGACGGGTGCAGGGATGAGAGGGGGGGTGGGATGTGCCAAGTGGCCAGCCAAGCCCACCGCAAAACAACCCAAAGGGCAGCCGGGCTTGCTCCTGGAGACCCACCACCTCCCCGGCAAGCAACGCCATCCAGGGCCCCCAGCACGCTTTGCCCCGAGCCCTCTCCCACCAGCTGTGCCCAGCTCCCCGCTGCTGGGACCAGTCCCACGAGGTGTGAGTATTTTTTGGCTCCAGCCAGGACTAAGTCCGGAGCTCCCTGCTGCGGACAAGTGCTTCGTCCGGCATCCCCAGTGTGGCAGGGCCAGGACCCTTGCCGGGCCAGGACTCTCACCAAGTCGGGGGTCCTGCACACTTCCCGAGCCCAGGGCCCTGCCAGATCTCCCCCAGCCCTCAGCAGGCCACCATTCCTCTGGTGCTCCAAGCCAAACGGGGACCACCCAACAGCCCCCTGGGTGAGTTCGGATCCATCCGAACAGCAGAGTGATTTGAAACAAAATGAAACAAAATGAAACAAAATGAAACAAAATGAAACAAACAACAGAATGAACCGGAGGCCTCGGGGGAGGCTGTGCCCCGGTACTCACGTAGAGGCCGGTGTGTCCCGCACCGAAGAAGGGGAAGCGCAC